TGACCTACTGCAGCTTTAAACATAAGAATGTGTCCAGACGATCTGATCACAATGCAAGCTGTGTGGATTCTGCTGTACAACGTGTTTTTTTAAGTACTGATATTAATGGATATCATTGTTTGTTTTCCTTGTTTAGCTGGATATTCTTGAATATATCCATGATCATGAGTATGTGCATGCTGACATTAAGGCATCCAACCTCATGCTGAGCCACAGTGATCCCAACCAGGTTAGTCAACGTTAAAACATCATATGCCACAACCTTACATTCTTAAGCACTGCGTCTCTTATAGTTGGGAAACTAAGGTGCTACTCTGACCCCAGCACTGCTCCTTGAAAGCAGGGAGATGATTGTGTTTTTTGATCATAACACACTTGTGCTGCTTCATTAGATTCAATTAAGTCTGGAGAGGAGGGTGTGTATGTGTGTGTGTGTTACAAACGGGGAGATTAGATGGTAGCAGCTAAAAGCTTTTTCTAGCAAACAAGGCAGGGGCGAATATTTAATTTGAAGATTAATAATGTATCATTGGTAGTGTTATTAATGAGCTATTTATAATTGACCAATGTTGTTTATTTTTTAAATGGTAAATTGGCCTGTACTTGGTATAGGGCGCCTTTTAGTTCTTCGACCAACTCAAGCACTTTTACACTAACGCTGCACATTCACTCAGTGATGGTAAAGGCCATCAAACAGAAACTAACTCATTTTAGTCTTTGTGCTATGCTAGGCTAAACATGTCTCTGTCTATACTGCATGACATTTGTGTTTTAATAGCCAAGTTTGATTCTGGGAAACATTGCAGTTGTATTTGTATAGCTGTAGAAAGTGTTAAATGTTAGCTTGTTTTTGGTCTGTGTGTGTGTGTGTGTGTGTGTGTGTGTGCGCATGTCTCAAATCGATGTGTTTGTAAATTGTAGGTTTACTTAGTAGATTATGGGCTGGCATATAGGTACGCACCCGACAGTGTCCTGAAAGAGTACAAGGAGGACCCCAAGAGATGTCACGATGGCACCATTGAGTTCACAAGCATCGACGCCCACAAAGGAGCAAGTAGGTACAAATTAACTGCTAGTAGTTTATGAGCTCAAGTACAGCTTTTAAAAGCAGGCTGCCAGCTCTGCGCACACATTCACACACTGCAGCACAAATAGGATAAACTGACTGGAGGGATTTTGAGCATAGAGACAAAACAGGATTCCTGCAGATCCTTGAAAATGTAGATAGACTAGTTTTCTAGTCATGGAAACACCTGGAAATTGTTAATAAAATATCCTGGAAAAATATCCTGGAAATAATCTATGCTGACCTGAAACTAGACCTTTGGTAGGATAAGCTGCACACTTTGTCACTTTGAAGCGGTTTCAGCAAACACAGAACGGAAAAGTGCTCCTTTTAAATTTCTGCTCCCATGTCAGTTAAAAGCTGTTCACACTGCTTGAGCGAACCTTTGGTGTCAAGTGTATTTGGGAAATGCTGTAGATGGTCATATGTACATATTAAATACAATTTACATTTCTTGTTGTGGTTGATAATTGTTCATTTTACGTGCAACAAACTCTTATAGTTTCTCTTCTTTTAATAGGCTAATAGGTGAGAAGATTAAGTTGCTGTAAAATAAAATAAATTATATCAGATTTTAACTATTATTTGTCCAATTGTAAATTCTTTCTGGCGTTAGATCTACACAGAATTAGGGATGATATTTGGAACGAAAATTGCTTTTAATTGGGATGAACTTCTCTTTGGTTTTCTACACTCAACATCTGTAAATATTAAAACAAAATACTTGTTTGGTATTCTGAGCGTAGCTGCTAGAAAAGCAATTACAAAGAAATGGCTTAAGCCAAACGGCCCATCTATAGAGGAATCTGAAATCTTTCTAATGGAAAGAATCACCTTTTCTGTGAGACTAGAGAAAACTAAATTTGAGGAAATTTGGGAAAAGTGGAAAATGTATATTGCTCCTAAATGCCCTTGTTTGGCTTAACTGTTTGTAATTTCTTATTTTATTTTTGTCTTAATATGTTTTTATGCCATTTTGAAACACTCCATGTTCTGTTCATATTTGTATATTTTAAAAAAATTGTAAAGATGAATCACTGTATAATTCCATCAAGCAACGTTGAATGGGTAAAGTGCTGATATGTGACAATAAAATAAATGGTTATTTTTAAAGTTTTTAGTTTATTGTTTAAGATATTCACTGAACTCTCTGATAAACAGCCTTGTCCTGCATCAGAAAAGTAAAAGTTAAGACAACCAAAGATTATCAGAAAACATAGAATTTGTCAAAAACTAAAGAAGCTTATTAAGTATGTATGATTGTTAAACAAGAAAAACAAACAGAACTGTATAAAATGTTCCCCATAAATATCAGGAAAAGTCATTTTTGAGGCAATTTTCTCAAGAAATGACATATTTTAGCTTTAAATGCTGCTATTAATGCCAGTACTCATGTGTCACCAGCTGCATGCAGACGGAGCGACCTGGAGATCCTGACCTACTGCATGGTTCAGTGGCTGTGTGGACGACTGCCCTGGGAGGACAAGCTGCAGGACCCCCTCTACGTCAGAGACTCCAAAATCAGGTGGGAGAAGCATACCTGCATTGACTGCACACATGAGTTCTCTGAATGCATGTCAGCTGCATCCACGCACAAACAAGTTTGGAATTTGGAAAATTCACTTTCAAGGAGCTTGTGGGTAAAATCATATTACTTGTTTTTCCTTACAGGAGTCAAGAAAACATCTCTGAATTTATGACCAAGTGTTTCTCCTCTCAAGACAAGCCAGGTAAACACACACACAAACACAGAGATGAGTGTAGACTTTTGTAGTTTCCATGTAGTTTAGAAGTCCATCAGGCCACCACAACTCATTTTCTTCACACCTACGTTTTGACTGAGCAGTCATGAGCTCACCACGCCGTGCACACATTGCAGTAAACGTTGCCAGTGAAATACTTTGAGTGTGAAGCAAGACATGTTTGGTTATTAGCTATAACTTAACACACAGCTCTGAAACAGCTGTAGAGAGTGATAAATAATAAACAAGGAGGCCTCTATTAATGAGTGAAAATGACCAACAGTAATGTTGCATATGTGCATGTATTGTTTTCTGTCCCCTAGGGATGATGGCCACTAGCAATAAAAACTATAGTGGTAATTGCATTGAATGGTTATTGCTGAACTTCACTATTCATAATGCATAATCAAAATCTTTCATGTTTTTCAGAAATTCTTTAAAATGATTCCGTCTTATCCGCCTTGCTCTCAAACTTGCAGCAAACAGCACAATACATAGTTGGATTTTTGCCCATGTCCTCTAATGTCACCCAACTAAACTCCTGTTTCCAAGATAATAGAAATGCTTGCTTGTACTTTAGCTCATAAACCTTACCTGCTGCCACAAGTAACGCGTGTTAACACGTGTCTGTATTTGACGACCTAGGAATGAGAACAGGCAGTGTGTAGGAGGAACTATGGTGGCCATGAAACTTGCGAAAAAACGCTGAATCTACAGCCAATGTTTGGTTTGTCTATTCTGTGCTACTGAAGAAACATGGCAGTTCAACTTGTGACCCACTCCCTCTGTAGATAAACATCTCATTCTAAGTTAACAAAAACACAAATCGGAAGGTTGGCGGTTCGATCCCCGGCTCCTCTTGCTGCATGTTGAAGTGTCCTTGAGCAAAACACTGAACCCCAAATTGTGTGTGTATGAGTGTGTATGAATGATTAGTTTCAGTTCTGGTGAGCAGCTGGCACCTTGCAGGGCAGCCAGTCATCAGTGTATGAATGTGTGTGAATGGGGTGAGTGTGGCATGTAGTGTACAGTGCACTAAGTTGGAAGACTAGAAAGGTGCTATATAAGTACAGTCCATTTACCATTTACAACATCATTCCTATATTCAGCTGATTATACACTAATAAAAACATCCCTATAAATATTATATTCCATTTGTGACAATAGATCCTCCTAAATGTTACACACTGGACCTTTTAAGCATAGATTAAGTGCGTATTATGATTTTGGAAATTAGCTACCAATGGTGCTGGGCAGTATGATAGCATCATTGGTTATTTTAGCCCACAGCAATTGTGCATATCAGTGAGCAGAACATTTTTAGACAGTCCCCTATCTGGTTATTTACTCTATTAATTGTTCCTCTGTTACATTTCGCCCATTCATAGCAACCAAAGTGAATGATATCTTTCATTTATATTCATCCACATCTAATTCTAATCGTTTGGACTGAGGACCAATAACGCACAGTACAGACTGTAAATGGTGACTGTGACGTTTGTTGTCTCACTGTGGTAGGAGTTGTCATTTTAATGTTGGCACTTTGACCTGCAGTGTGTCGGTTCAGGCAGAGGAGGCGAACATGAAGCGTCACACCTCCTTCCTTCTGCTCTGCCGAGCACAACCAAACGGTTGTTTACAACTCCATCTGTGTGTGTGTTTGTAGCAGTGTGTCAAGTCTGCAGAAAGTCACACCAAACAGAATGAGGCAGGACACTGCGACCAGAGAAGAACATTATGGTGATGACAGAACAAAGATAGAGTAACACGACGAGAGGATCTTTATATGGTCCATCATCACAAAACATGGATCCAGGCACTTCATAAAAACAAGCCTTCCCAGAGTTAACTTCACAAAGCAAAATGGTGATATGCAGTGAACAAACAAAAAATAAAGGGCAAAATAGCATATAAGAAGATATAAACAGACATACCTCACCTGGCTGCCTTTTCTGGTAGTGAGACCTGGCATAGAGGCCAAGTTTCAGGCTTTTACTGTGTCACTCTGCTGTGTTCCAGATGAGATCCAGAGGTTCATGGAGGAAGTTAAATCACTGGGATACCAAGACAAACCACAATATGAGAAGCTGCGCTCCATCTTGCAGGCTGGACTGAAGGCCATCCAGGCTAAAGATGACGGCAAGCTGGAGTTCACTCCTGTCATTGGAGCTGTATCACCTCCTGCCAAGGTCTCACACACACACACACACGTACCAGTTTAAAGTACACCTGCCAATAGGAAGTGATTGAACATGGGCAGTGAAGAATTCTCAAATATATTATTTCAAGAGATACTGCACATTTAGACATGTTTTTTGAGCTATAAACTAAATTATGAGTGTACTGTGATAAAACACGGCAATGCTGGTGTTAATATTCACATTCTTTATGTCAAAAATAAAATAAAATCAGCATTTCATGTTGTTTTAAATCACCCTTTCAAGGCCAGTGCCGGCATAGAGTCGGCCGTTTGGGACTACTTTACATCATGACATTTATGCAAAAAAACCTGTGTTAAAACCCCTCTAATCAGTGGGGACTAGCTGCTGTAAGACTATTTGTTAGGGGACACAAACATGAATCCAAATGAATGATATACATTCTTTCAGCAGTAGCTATTCATTATTTTTGCATTCTGTAATTTAGCTACGCTACTCTCACGTTTTCACTGAAAATGAAAAAATCTCTCAGCTCAGCTGCGTAAACCAGGGTGCATATTTAGTTTGAAACTGGACTTTTGGTAGGATGAGCTGTGCGCTATGATAGCCCACATGGAGTGGAACGGACTTGTGGCAATCCTTTTGGTGTTGTGTCACTGATGTTACAATTAGAGGAAAACTTTGCTGGAGACCGGAAGTCTGCTGTGGTGAGAACAGCCAAGAGCACCACCAAAGGGATCTAAAGCACGTTGTCCCGCTTGAACGCTGACCACCTACCTTTAATAAACCTGAAATACTTTGTGACGGAGGAATAAGTTAAAAGTGTCAATGCTAGGTCTACCGCTAAATTATGACTGTTTTTTAACAAGTGCTGTCTTGTACTGTCAAGAAAAATCCCTGGAAAATGTCCTGGAAAGGTCCTGGAATTTGATTTCTTAAAAAAAGGGTGGTGCAGGCACAGCAGCCGGACTGAACACAGTCTCCAAGACTGACAGGGAATAACGTTACAGTACATTTCTTTTAATGTTAAGCATGTGAAGTAAAATGGATTGTAAGATAATAGTCTTTCCGTTAATGGTATTTCCATTACGCGTTAGTGCCGAGCTAACAGACTAAGCGCTAGTAATTTGTAGATATATAAGATGTGTATATATATCTTTGGTAAATAAATTTTTCCCCCACCTCTACACAGTTGCACACAGCTACATTACAACAGGTATATGTAACATTTACTTACAAAACATTCAGATTCATATTTGTTTCCTGCTTTCCAGCTTCATCTTGTCTTCTCCAGTCTCTCTCTCTTGCTCTCTCGCTCTCTGTGCATATGGAAGATGCCACCAGCCGAAGGGTTACCGGGCCCTGGCGCCAGTTATTGTATGTAATTATCTCGCCAATCTGTTCACCTCAGCAGGCGCCGCATGGTGATCATGAGGTAGCAATTGTCAAAATGGAGGCAAAAATGGGAAGCAGGGGGTGCAGGGGGTGAGTGATAGTTCAGGCTGAGAGTGGAGCTTCATTATAGAGGCCCGGGAAGGAGGAGGACGGACAGAGGAGTTGATTGCCTTCATTAAGTGCGTGAGTCTTAGAGGCCACCTTTTCTTTCTCCTTCCTCTGCAGAGCCTACAGTGGCTCTGATTTCTGGAGAGAGGACACAGATAATAGTCACCGTTTACGAAACAACTCTTCTGAGACACCTTCATCTTTGTTGACCTGCCGTTGCTTCACGAGCAGAAGAAAGCAAAGCCCGAGTGGTTCTGTTTGCTGCTATGTGGTCAAAACAACGGAACACATAATCATGCGTTTTAATGGATTAATGTGTGCGAGTCGGCTGGTGAGATGGCAGAGCGATAATTGCATTTGCTCAGACTTCACGCACAAAAAGCTGGAGGCTCTGAAATGTCAGGTCGCCTCATCGCCAAGTCAAGGCCTCACCTCAGTGTCTCTTCATTGCTGTCTCTTTATCACACGACGCTGCAGGCCTTCAGAGCTCTGACAGACTCTTAATTCTCTCTCTTCTTAATTTAGCTAAAAACAAAAATGTCTCAATTTAAAGACAGTTAATCATTAAAGTAACTGTTGTGATTAGCATTTGGGTTCCTTTTAGCCGTTTTGTCTGATTTTGATGGATAACTCAGACATTTCCTGCTCAGCTTTGAAAAGAAAATAGGGTTATGTATGTTGTGTCAAAAGGCTTCTAAGTATTCTGAACAGTAAGTGCAGAAACAAACATGACAAATATGAAGTCACTTCTGCTTAGCAACTCCATGTTGACCCACCTTCTGGGTTGTTCATGTCCCTTCTTTTCATTTTCACCTTGCAGAAGACCACCAAGAGAAAGAAAGCAGCAGCTGAAGCTGAAGAGAGCGAGACTGATGGGAGTCCCGTCAAGAAAAAGAGGGCCACAAAGAAAAGAGGTAGGTATTTTTTGTCTTTGATCAGTCAAATATATGTGAGGTCATTTTTTCCACTGCAGGAGAGCTTTAGTAGGTGGTTGCTGAGTCAGTGATACTGAATAAGTTGTAGGGACTTTCAGGCGTAGCCAGCAGTGCTGTCAGTATTGATGACAGTGACTACCATTTTACATCTGCCACACGATGCCACAGGTTCGAATCCAACCGGGAACCATTGTTGCATATTATACCAAGGGGCGGCTGTGGCGTCGTCCACATAACTCGGAAGGTTGTTGTTTCGATCCCCAGCTCCGCCGCCGCCTCCTGACGTTCGAAGTGTCCTTGAGCACGATACTGAACCCATGTGTATGAATGAGTTAGTTTCCATTTGAAAGTGAGTGAATGTGTGTGAAAGGGTGAATGTGGCACGTAGTGTAAAAGTGCTTTGAGTGGTCGGAAGACTGGAAATGTGCTATACAAGTACAGGTCCATTTACCATTTACCACCTCTATCTCCCCCCACATTTCATGTGTGCCTCTCAACTGTATACTGTTAATTGAAGCAGGGCAGGAATTACACCGCAGCCAAACAGCCAGTGCCATGGATGCCCCGACGTGTGGCCATACTGACCATTCTAAAATTAACTACCCACACCTGGGAATGTGTCAGTTCATCCTGAGGGAGACATGAATGTATGAGATATCCTGGCAATCTATTCAATTGTTGTTGAGACATTTCATTAAGTATGTATAAGTTGTATAGAATAAGTTGATACTGACAAACGTCAAAGACATGAATAATAGCAACCAATGTCAATCAATTGTATATTGAGAAGGTAGTGTCTTGTACTGACCTCCTTAAACATGATGAATTTTCCCTGGCAGAGGTGAATGGAGTGAAGAAAAGTCCCAAAAAGACTCCTAGACCAAGGAAGGTACTCCTCACTGCGAAACAGGCTGAACCCAAATCAAGACTGGTGGATATGGGGACCCAGACATCACCCGCACAGAAATCCAGAGGCAGAACCAAGAAGACCAGCTCTTAAGAAATCCACCTGTCTCCATTCCTCCCTCCATTCTCCTGCCTTTCCTCTGCTTCTTAAAAAAATCACTTTTTTAAGTTTTATATGGTAGGTTTTTTTGTTACACACTGATAGATGATGTTTGATTGTATTTGATGTGATCGAAGCCAGATTTTCTGTCTGTTACTGATATATGTTGAGGTTTGTTTGTATTTGGTGTGCTTGAAGCCAGGTCCATTGTAATAAAGAGGAAATTAAACTGTCCATCTTTTGTTTTTAATAAAAGGTTTCAGGGTTGAGGGCCAGAGTGTGACGGAAAGAAAAATATTTGAGGCAAATTCTGTTATTATTACGGAAGCGCATTGCATTCATTAAAAAGAATTTGACATCATATCTCGTAATTACGAGATATGGTGTCAAATTATTAGATAAAGAAAAGAGAAACGTCTGTAAATCCTCTCTGTTACAGTTTGGTTGTTTTTGGCGTGGTTACGGCCGACAGTAACCTGTAC